GCCAGCAAAATGGGCTGAAGAAATTTGCAGATAATACTAACAGTAAATAGCTGACTCACTGAAAATGATAGAATCATGGAATCATAGAATATCCTTAGCTGTGTGAGGGGACGCACACAGACCATCAGGTCCAACCCCTGGCTCCACACACGACCATCCAAAATTCAACCCTATGTCTGAGAGTGTTGTCCAAATGCTCCTTGAACTCTGGCAGCTCAGGGTTTTGCTCACTGCCCTGGTCAGCATGTTCCATGTGCACCGCCCTCTCGTGAAGAACTTTTTCCTAACACCCCACCTGACCCTCCCCTGATGTAGCTCCATGCCATTCCCTTGGGTCCTGCTGTTATCACCAGAGAAATCAGCACTGCCCATCTTCTCCCCTGTGATGAGCTATAGGTGGCCACGAGGCCTCCCCTCAGCCTCTTTCGCTCTGAAAAAAACTAAATGACTGAATAAACTAAATGACCTCAACCACTCCTCCTACAACTTTTCCTCTTAGACACTTCCACCTCTTCACAGCCATCCTTTAGATATTCTAATAGTTTTATTTCCTTCTTATATTGTAGTGCCAAAATCTACACACACTACTCGATGTGAGGCCACACAAGCTCAGTTTGGAGCAGGACAATTCCATCCCTTCATCAATAAATAATTACAGAACTGCAATTTTGAGTGAATTTAAGAAGCTAGAAGGACCAACAGAAACCTCTTGACGGTCAATAAGAAGTGGTGCAGAGTTCTACACATTTGTCACAATGACCGGGCCCATACATTTTTAGAGGCTGGGAAATAACAGACCGAGTTAAAGCACTGTTGGAAGAAGAAAGTTATTGCAAACCTTGAATAGGCTATACAGATTCAAGACTCAATTAGACAAAGACATAACTGCCTTGGTTTTCTGTTTACTGTTGGCAGTAGGAATGCTTGGAGAGAAATACAGAAGACCTTCAATTGACCCTTCCGATAGACATTTCCAAGACTCTCTGAAGTTCTCATCTGTATCCAGGGTATTGTTTTTAGATTCCCGTGTTCAAAAGGAGCTATTTTTAGAAGGGATGACTTTTGGTAAATGTGATCTATGAAACAAAACAACTAAAGCTAGAAAACAAAATCCAACTCTTGCGTGGAGTATCAGAGAGGCTGGTGACCTGAGGGAGGTTTGAGTGATGAGGGAGAAACAGGAGAGGAAGTTTTCAAACAGTTTTGCCACTATTTTTTGTTTAATCTCAGGAATATATCCTAAAGAGATCCCAATAAAGAGCTAAGCCTCTTTTTTTCCTAAATTACTGAATCAGAAGTGTGGACAATCTGTTTAAAGACATGATGCTGACCTTTTTGTGCTCTTAGAGAGTGTAGGCCAGGTGATAATTTTACTTCTACATTTCTGAATTTTTAGGGAGTGCAGCTGGAATAAAATCTAATAATGCAATTCAGAAGAGTACCATATTTATACAAAACAACATGTAACATTTGCAGCAGAGTCATAAGTAAATCCCCAATTTGCTAGTAAACCAGATGATAGCTTTCAGTTCACAGCAATCCCCAAAACTTTTTGCACATTTTTTCTGTCATTTTAACATGGTAATGAGACAAAGACATCTTCATAAATAAATGTGTTCCGTAAAACACAAAGGGAAAGATAGAATCAATCAAATCACATTTACAGCAAGAACTAAATGTACCATTTCCTGTGACTGGCTTAATGTCATCTGCTATTCATTCATACTGGCTTTGCAAGGATTATAATTTCAAGCTAGCTGATTGAGTTTGCCCTTCAGAATCCACGGCAGTGCTTAGAGTGAATTTCATTAATAATGCAAGTAAATTTTGTTAAAAAAAAAAAGAAAAAAGAAAAGAAAAAAAAGGAAATAAATGCCTGCAAAGAACACAAATTAAAACTTTCTAGGTTGCTGCTTTAATCTCTTTCCTTTGGAACATTGTTGTATAAATGAACTTTTAATAGAAACTGCCTCAAAGCCACAGTTCCTTGCTCAGATGTTAATATCATTAAAAATCTTAGCACTGACTGAAAGGAAAATCCAAATTAAATTTATAAATACAGCAGGATCTGCAAATATGCACAACTCCATTATGCAATTCTCCTTGCTTTCCAGCTGTATTCCCACTTAAGAAATATGAACAATATATTTTGAAACAGCAAGAAAAAGACAAAAAGGTATATGGAGAACTGTAATTAGAATGCTGGGAAGAGTATACTGAAAGAGAAAGATTTCCATTAAATATGTAACTATGTAGATCATTTATGCTATATGCCCTTTAAAAGAAATAATAAAAACCACAGTTTTTAAATGTAAAATCTGAAATTTTCAAAAGAAATTCTCACTTCAACTCATTCGTTAAACAGAAACTGAATTAATCTTTCATAACTACTACAGAGTATCCTGCTGAATATTTAACTTTGGCTAAGTGCACAAGAGCCTAGCACTTGAGCAAAATTACGCTGATGATGTTTTGTATATATCTAGTCCCAACTGAGAGTAGATGTGGCAAGACATGCCTGTACTAAACAAAGTATAATTAAGCAGCTATACACTATAGTAGTTTATTGTTGCAGAAAAAATACTCTTCATATTAAGCTCATGAGAAACGTACTGTATTCACAATTTTTATCTAATTTAGAAATCTTATAGCTGAAATTAACACATCATTAACATATGTATGTTGCTCTGGTTTATATCTTAATGACATTATTATCTATATATAGGTTCATTCAGTGATTTATGTACATCACAGCAGGCAATGTTTGCAAATAATCAGATGAGCTCCACTCACACCCATGTCTATTTACCTAAATATTTATCCTGACTTTTTAGATACACCAAGGATTTACAATCTTAGCAAAGCCACTAGAACCCAGAGCCATCAAATCACAATGTTTACCTAAGTGCCCCAAACCAAAGTACATATTTAGATAAAACATTTAGTATTCCAGGCTATATGAAGACATTTATCCCAACAGAACAATGCTTATAATGGTTAATTAAGTCAGTTGCCTTGGCTGTGTTAGGAACAAAGGAAAGCTGTCAGCATCAAAATCAGACTAGAGACAGCTCATCCAGGGGCTGTTCTAGCATGGAAGTACAGTAAAGATGGAAAGCATGTAAGCTAGGAAATGTAAAAAACGCTTTTGTAAAAAATAGGAACATATGACGCAAGCTGCATAACCTGATCTGAATTAAAAAGAACATGCAGTGACAAGGAAGGAGAGTTTATAAAGAAATCAAAGGGTAAGACACAGACAGAGGCAATGGATTTCAGGAATACATATCTGTCATTATCATAACAAAGGCTTGTAGAAGTTAAGGATAAATCAATCCCTTAAGGGCTGTGATCTCCTGTCCTGATGTGTTTTGCAAGTTTAAGTTCTTTCCATGTGTATGAATGATTTGCACTGTTAATAAATATCATTATTCTTACCTGTGACAGATGAGTTTCATTCTACCTAGTTAAGGGGAAAGTAATTTAGGTTAAATGCAAACTACCTTAAGAATGCAGATTTATGCATGTCAAACCAAAAATGATAATCACAATTCTTCACTCTGACAATGC